AGTGGGGTGCGAGACAAACGCTTTTAAACACTTTTTCGCGCCTATTTTAAAGTAAAAGTCTCTTCTGTTCTTATTATAATACAATTGTTGTTTTTCTCTGGTTACGTCTGAATTTTTGACTGCATTGTTAATTAACTTTTGAACATCATTTAGTTTAAATTCTGTCTCCTTTTTCAGGACAAAGAACAGTTTATCTAAGGAGGTAATTATCTACCTCCCAAAAAATAATTCACAAGGAGTCTTTCCCCTCGTATCGTGCTTGGTCACTCTGAGGGCAAATGCCAATTCATTTACACAGTAATCCGAGCATCAGTGATACTTTTTACGTAGCTCCGTATGGTTTTAACTATATTTATGCTCTCGATAATATTTGACTGCGATTTGTAAGAGACTATCTTAAGGTGACGAATGCCAAGCCCTGCACATAGCTCCTCGAAAATTTGGCTAACGAATGGGGCCGTTATCTGATATTACCCTACGTAGTGCACCATATTTTAAAATGTATTTATTTAGAAATGAATCGGCTACAACTAATAAATATCTTTATGTCTATTACTTTCACTTTTTGGAAAGGGGCCCAACAAATCTATTTCAATTATTTCATTTGGAAAACTAGCTCTTATATTTAGATACCAGGCCGCGCTATAATTTACATCGTTAATAAACTGGCATCTATGGTAGGACCTAACATAATCGGTTACTACTCTTTAAAGATGCGGGGAAAAAACCACCTCGTGCACTCTTTGCACCGTTTTCTGAATGCCTGAATGACCTGCCCTGGATGCATCGTGTAATTCAGCTAAAACACTGATTCGCAACCCAGCTGGAATGACGAACCTTATTTCACTATTCTCATTTGTTATTTCTGTATAATAGTTTATCGACTATTTCATAGTTTACTGCTCTATCCTTATGGCCACTACATCCGGATTTTCAAAATTATCCGGGTCTTGCAAATAGGCATAAATATACATATACTCTGGATCACTTGATAATTCAGTAATAATTGCTTCCCGGCAATCTAATACTTTTGATGTTAATATGGCACGTTTTATTGGTTTTCCTTCTTTGTCGAATTTTATTCGGGATAAAGCGTCTGCCACGATATTCTCCTTCCCCCGGTGTGTGTTTAATTATTAAATTAAATTCTTGCCCATCTTATGAGTCGCAGCGATAGATTTTTGCCGGAATATAGTCGTCCCACAGCGGCATGACCTGAATACACGACTATCGGTGCCTTACCGAAATAAACTCTAGACTTCTGCACTACTAAAAAGTACGGCCAAAGTTTCTCTTTCGGTTGTCGTGTAGTTATGCTGTGTTTGATTTAGCGCTTTAAGAAAATACGCCGCGGGCTGCTTATTCTGCGCCAAAACCGCACCTTCAGCAAAATCAGCCGAAGTTTCGAAATTTTCGTCCCCTTCCGGGAATTTGGGAGACCAGCGCTTGAATTAGCGCAGTTTTCAGTTTATCAAATGCCGTGTTAGCCTTAGGTGTCCACGAAAATCTGGCATTCTTTTAATAGTAACAGCGGTTCGGGTATCTGTGCAAAGTCCTTTATAAAAGTTCTTTATAAATGTTCTCTTTTATTTATAAATGTTCTGTAGTAAGAACACATGCCTAAGAAAGAAGAGAGCTTTTTCGCAGTATTGGGCGGTTGGTATTTCTTTATTGCAATTACTTTGGAATCCTTAATTTCAACTCCGCGTTTTGAAATATTATAGCCTGAGTACTTGAGCTCTTCTGCCACGAATTTACACGTACTAGCATTTATTTTTAGGCCTGCGTCTCTTAATAATGTAAGAACTTTGTTTAAATCTTTTATATGTTCCTCAATATTTTCGCTTGAGACAATGATATCGTCGAGATAAATAAATGTCGATTTACCGAGGACACATCTTAATACGTATAATGTCCATAGTTCGTTGGAAAGTCACCGGGGCTCCACATAAGCCGAAAGGCATTCTAAGAAAAGCATAAGTACCTTATTTCGTGATGAATCCAGTTTTTGGCACATCCTCGGGTTTCATGACTATCTGGAAATATCCTAGGTGAGATCTATCGTGGTCATGTATTTTGTTGACCTAATGTTTCGTATAACTTCTTCAATGATAGGCAGGGAATAAACGGGGTATTTAGTTAAACTATTTAATTTTCTGTAGTCGATAGTTAGCCTCTAGGCTTTTAAATTTGAGAGACGCAGATCATTTTTTCCGCTACAGAGCACGAGTTGGCTCTCATAAGGGCTACTTATAGGTTTAATAATTTTATTTTCAAGCATATGCTGAATGTACTCTTCTATAATCTTTTTTTAATGCGACCGTATCTATATAGCCTGGCTCTCACGGGCTGCTCTTTTTTTTTTAAATTAATTTCATGATGTGCAATTTGGGTGAGGTCTGGCGTTTCAGAAAATAAACCAGTAAAATTTCTTACCAGGTCTTGTAATTTTCTTCTGTTTTCAAGTTCATGTCGGGCTGTTCAATAGCTTTCATTTCCAGCGGCTTCATCTGTAGTTGCATCGTCTCATCCTGAAAATTAATATGGGCTCTTGCTTTTTTTTAGAATTTAGTGCCCAAAATTACCGAAGCTTGTAGATTTCGAACTACAAAAAATATAGATTTTTGCGTCTCATTCATTATCTTCACATTAAATGTTGCTTTATCTATGCATTCACAATGTTTGCCCATCACTGCAATAAATTTAGCGTTTTGGGTTTTAAATAACCTGTAATTTTTAAAAGTGCTTTGAGAAAATTGTTCCGACAAGAAGTTTGCTTGCGCCCCTGTATCGAGCAAGGCCTCTTTTGGCACCTTATTTAGTCGAAAGTGTATCACAGGTAGGGACAAAATTTTTATTATCACCGTGTTCAACTGAATTTTTGATGGATTTTTCTCCGAATGGGGTAACTGTACCCTCCTTTCAGCAGCTACCCGTCCTAGATTAACTCCATGTTAAATGCCCCCTTTTAGAAACTTGCGGTCTATTTTGGCAATCGCCTTTCTTTTTATCTTGAAATTTATTCCCGGAATTGAATTTCTTTACTTGTTCTGCATACGGCCTAGAAAACTGTCCGTTTGGTCTCTGGCCAAAACTTCTCGTACACGTACTTTCTGCTACCCTCCTACTCTCGAATTTCACCGCCAGCTCGAACAATTGTTCTAGAGCGCTGGGTTTTCTCTCTTCAATATAATCCTGAACGTGCGGAAGTAGTCGAGACAAGATGATTTGAATGAATTCTGCATCGGGCTTTTTTTTTTTTTTTTTTTTTGTTGTTGTTGTTGTTGTTGTGTTGTGTGTGTGTGTGTGTGTGTAAAACGAAGGTGGACAACTCTTCAACTTTAAGCTGGTACTTGACGTACGATTCAGCCTCAAGCCCAACTCTGTCTTTGACCACGGGGAAAGCTTTTACCAGAGCTGCTTTAAAATCTTCGAACGTATATGTAGAGCTGCCTATCTTCTCCAAACGAAATTTCCCGATGCCTTTAAACCAACTTAATGTCTGCCCTCGTAAGGCCGTCGTTGCTATCGTAATTTTCTTGACTTCGGGAACGGGATAAAGCAAAAAATGGTTATCTAGATTTTCTAGGAAGCTAGTGACCGACATTCTTCCGTCGAATGTCACTGTGGGTTTCATGGAGGTCAAATAAATTTGTTATGCAAAATAAGGGAAACCCTACAAGCAGTCTAATGAAACAAATGCAAATTTGCGTCCTCAAGAGTTAAGTCAATAATTAATTTTTGTTATATAAGTAAGTATAAAATTCTCTATGTATTAATTACAATAAAATAACATTGCAACAAGTTTTGGTACTTTTCCATTTTGCCGGCGCAAACGATAAAGTCGCCAATAATGGTACATCTTCGCTGGTAAACCTTTTAGACCTCATTTTCAAAACAAGTCGCAGACATTTCTTACCAGATTGATTGTTTCTTTCAATACTGGCATACAATTACATAGAATATTTACAAAGATAATTAAATTTTTGCCCTAAGACCATCGCGGTAATTAAGTCACTTAGGATGCAATCACACCGCTCACCCGAAAGGTGAAAATATTGAAAAAAAGGCAAAGTCAAGGGTTTTAAATTCATCAATTCTAATGAGAATGCACTAGTGAAAAGTAAAGCACTTACGGTTTTACTAATTCTCAGTAAGCTATTTGTAGGAATTGAAATAATTCTGGCATTTAAACTTGTATTCCAAATTAAGATTTAACTTAATTAATGCAGATAATTACTGAGAGAGAATTATATTTTGTAGCGTAGTTTACGTGAGATGAGATCACTTGTTGTCACGTGATACGAACCGACGAATCAGGATGTTCAACCATGATAGCATAGTAAATTCTTAAATTGTCTTTTTACAAATTTATTGTCTTTATTATTACAAATTATAAATCATATTAAAATGTTTATGTCTTCAAAATAAAAAATTCTGAGAACTAACATTTGTTAAAATTTTTTATGTGTATACTGTATGTTGTCGCCAACAAAGTCTGCTTGGCGAGATTTGCGCCGGCGAAGCGGAAAAGTACCCAAGTTTTTTACTACTAATTAGTTTTCCATTTTGAACATATCATTTTAAATATCAGATTTTGTATTAGATTTTAATGTCTGGTGGACTCAATTTTAAATCAACAGGCGTATTTTATGTGCTTAAAGCCGTTTATGATGGTAAACTGAAATCTGAACGCCAAGCTCAGATTTCAATTTCTTTGTAATCTTTTAAATTTAAAATTTTTTAAAATGTTGTGTTAACTTTTTGAGTTTCTTCGCGATGTTCGATTATAATCTGAAGATTTTAGACTGAAATTCTTTTATTTTTATTTTAAAAAAATGCTCAAAAGAAAAAGAAGTTCATTAATCAAGTAAAGTTAATAAACAAGTTATGGAATGTATTATTAAAATGGTTAGGTAATAACTTAAGCTGAATTCTGAACTGAAGGTACTTGATAAATATAAAAAAGAAAATAATTATTTTATTTTTTTCTGTTCTAGAAGGCAGAGGAAGTGATGCTTTACTAAAAGCTCAAATGAATGTCTGGTCGGAAGAAGAGTGTGAAAAGCGTTACCCTGGGTGGTTCACAGATTATATGATTTGCGCGTATAAATATGGAACTGATACTTGTGAGGTAAAACTGAATCTTCTTTGTGGTTCCAATTAGTTCTCATTGATGCCTATTTATGATTTATAACATGCCAAGTGGTGAGAAAAATATTCGTGTTTATAACATGCCAAGTGTTAAGAAATTATTCGTAAGAAAAGTATTCGTGAATATTCGTGTTTGAACATTATGTCATCTAACTGGAAAAGTAATTTCAAGTTGATAGAGATAGGTTTTGGTGAGTTATTGACAAGGTAATAATTTGCGCGTGTCTTTTGGTGTAAAAATACGTGATGGAAATTTAGAGCAGCGCATCAACGTCAAATTTGTATGACACTCAGAAAATGCGCTACTGAAACGCTAGTACTATTAAAAATGGCATATGAAGAAAATGTCAATCAAAAAGCAGAATACGTATGAGTGGCATTAGGGATTCAAAGATAGATAGATGTCACTAATGAGCCAAGAAGAGTGCAGCCAAAAACAGCAGAGATGTATTTTAACATAATCTTCAGGTTTCAGAAGTTTTTATGTCTGTCGAAAACTGCAATATTTAAACTAATTTTTTATCTTATCAGTTTCTGTACTTATATCTGCGTATTTTTTTTTTTTTTTTTTTTTTTTTTGCGTATTTTTCGTCATCGCTTAAGTTCATTAAATGATATTTAGATGTCTGATACTAATGTCGAAAGGTTTAATGTGTATTTAAGCAAATCTATTGAATGATATAGACCTGCCTATAAAATATCTTATTATATAATAATCAATTCTGAGTATCGTTTCTCGTTTCAAATTAATTTAAATAGCTCTAATGCTATTCAAAATATGATAAAATATTCTCTTGATGTTCATAAATTATATGCTTAAAAAAATTTCTCGTTGTGCAAATACCGTATACACTCGTGTAAGTCCGCACTCCAACTTTACAGATAAAATTTATGTGAAAATAAAAAAGTGACCCGCACAATGTCCGCACCCCAAAAACTAAAGAATTGCTTACTTTAAAATTCACTTTTTTAACCCCGCCTTTTTCCCTTGAGTCAATAAACATCTTTAAAGAAAGAATATACATTTTTTTGTCTTTGGTTGGCGCCAGGATGGAAAGCAGAGACTTTCCTTGCATTCTGGTGCAGCTGTTATTCAGTCATAACATCGGAGCCAGCAATCCACTCGGCAGACGCGATAATAAATGAAGGCAGTACAAACAGGTTTTGGTACAACACTGGCTTCCATGAAATACTGATTTGTAATGAAATTACTTTTCCCTTTTTCTTCCTTGGAGCATTTCAAGCTTATTATCATTTGGAATTCGTGGTAGTTAGCGAGTAGCGTTCTTGAAATAGGAAAATACAGCAGCTATACAGCGACTTTTAAGCTGAAAGTCGTAAAATTTGCGCAGGAAAATAGAAAAAGAGCAGCAGCAAAAGTATATAAGGTAGACGAAATGTATGTGCGCAGTTGGAGTAAACAGCGTGATCAACTGGCGGCAATGAACAAAACAAGACGTGCGTTTCTTGGTTCGAAATGTAAGTTTCCGAACTTAGAAAAAAAAAGTAGTTGCGTATGTTCGTGATACGCGTGCTCAAATTAAATACGCAGTAACACAAGAAATGTGCCAAATAAGAGCGCTTTCTGCGGCGCGAGAAGGAGACCTACGTCGCAATTCAAGGCGAGTGAATGCTGGTTGCGGCGAACGATGAAACGAAATGGATTTTCATACAGTGCGTCAGATAATCTGTGCAAGATATTAAAAGAACCAACGCTTATTTAATTTGTGTAAAAGTAAATATTAAAATTGCAAATGTTGGTTAATTTGTGCCTCTATATTTTGCTCCTGTGCGAACTAATGCGCGCCGAGTGTTGATAACCTAAACGGGGCGTAATTTACATTATTATGTGGATGGGAGAAAGTGGGTTTTTAAAGTTTGGTAGCTATAAGACAACTTTAAATTTGATATTTTTATTATTTATGCAATTTTCTTCCACTCAAAACTTTATTGTTTGAAATGAAATTTTCACCCAAAATTACTCACGAGAAAAAGCGCGACATTTGAACGATTCGTGTAATGTTTGTAACTGCATTTTAGTGATGTAATTTTAGTGAAAAAAGTGCGGACATTACGTGAGCGTATACGGTAATGCTGTTCGAAATAAGATGTTGAAATTTCTTAAAAAGTCAATTGCAACAATCACGTTTTACATAAAGCCGTTAAGATATGAAATTATTTGACTAGTTATGTATATAGAAATGATTATTGTAAAAATTATGTGGAAATTTTTCAGCAACGGCGATAAGAAATCTTATTTTTATTAACTTTTTATTTTATTGATTCTTTCAGTTTTTATTAAAAAATTTATTTGATTTAATTTTTTATATCTTTCTTTATTTATTTTAATAAAGACTGATTGGAAATTCTCCTTTTAACGACTGTATACTAATATCAGTTGTAGATAGACTAACGTAAAGTGCTTACTTTCGTGATGGAACCCTAATTATCTCAAGTGACATATCACAGAAAATAAATAAAATAAAATAAAATAAAAAACATTACTACTCTTGTAATAGCGAAAAATTTCATGTATCATATTTCAACAAATTTATCCATTTTAACCGCTTTCCATTTGAACCGCTAACCATTTGAACGAGTTTTTTGGGTGACATTTCTACGTCAGACAAAATAAAGGACTCTTTTTCGCAAAACGGATTGTAAAATGGATTCAGAAGAGATTTGTTTCTTGTGACGTCTCTACGTACGTATACACCTCGCATAACTCAAAAGCCAGTAACCGTAGAACGTTGAAACTTTGTATATGGAACTGCTATAACATCTAGTTGTACACCTCCCTTTTACGTTGCAATCATCGAGCCCAAACTTATAAATATATATGTATTTATGTTACTTTGAGTTAATTATGTATGTATGAATGTTTATGTATGAATGTCATTTATATATGAATTTTGAAATATTCATAGGATTTTTACATATTCACAGAATGAACTAATGCTACTACTGTTAAGAATCTGTCTCCGTTAAAAATCATTGCTTGGTTTGTAATTGCAGCACCTGAAAATTAGAAAAGTAGCCTAAAAGCTAGATCGTAAAGAATGAATCAAAAATGAAAATAAAATTATTTCTCATAATATAACTTGTATATCGTAAATCAGCTTACATGCATAATTTAAGCTTCAACATAAACACACAAAAACGCAAAGCATTTACTTACTATGAAATAACGTAAAAACATGATAGTAAAAATTCCGATAGTAAAAATTTAACGTCATAGTAGAAATCGTATGAAAGCTTTGAAGACAATTCTTACTTATTCCGTAACAAAATTTTCATTGGCTAATCTCACAATAACTTTTAAAAAATTTTGTTTGGAAGAAAATTGGCTGTTGGTTGAAAAATTATTGTATCTTTTTTCCTTTTATTATAATTTCTTATATTTATTTTCATACTTTTTTATATTTTATATAAGTTTCATGTTTATTTAATCTGAATACCTAAAGACATTTCGAAAACGTGCCGAAAAAAATCGATGAACTAAATCTCGTTTTCATAAATGCTTATTCTCCGTTCCTTCTCCAGCAATAGAATTTCCCCCAGCTTGCTACTATACTATACAGGACTGGTTTAAGAAATTTCGGAGGCCTGTGCAAGTTGAGAAACAGGAGCTGCCTAATTGGATCCCTTTTAAAATTATACTTTCTGTGGCACAGTCAGACTGTTCCATAATCTATTATCACTAATCATTCTATTTTGAAAGTTTATAAGTACTTATGTAATATTTTTTGCTTGTGAATAGTTTTCGAAATAACAAAATGCAAATATATTAAAAAAACTGTAATGTAACACTTTTATAATACTGAATATAATACCTATTATTTTTGGTAAAATAAAGCGGAAAATCTAGCATATTCTCACTAATTTTCGAAATGAAGAATATTTAACAATTTCTAAAAACAAAATTTTAAAATGTGTAATAAATAAGTTTACCTCAGTGTATTGTATTTTACAGCTCACTTCTTCTAATTCATTTCTGTTTACAATAAATACTATATTGTACCCATATACTTCAGTAGATAGTCTGATTTAATTTTTACTTTTTTACTTTTATTTTTTTTACTTTTTCATATACACTCACGTTTGTGAAAATTGCAACACCAATTTTCACACCAATCGTCACACCAATTTCACACCAATCGTCATAATTGAATGCAATTTAATACACAGTTGAGTGGTAGTGGTACAAATAAATGATTAAAGTTCAAGCAAACAAACAAGACAAGAGATCAGAATCAGTTTTTGTGTGGCCACACGCGCCGCAATAAGTGCTGCTCAGACGTGGCATGGAGTCAAACAAAGTTTGAATGTCTGACTGGGAAAAGCATTCCAAATCGTTGTACGCGTACCCAAAGTTCGTCTGCAGACGCAACAGGACGTGGATCACGAGCAAGACGCCGACCAAGACATCCCACACATGTTCAATTGGCGACATACCGGGGAACACGCAGGCCAAGAAGAAGAAGCTGTACCTGCTGCTGCAAAGAAGGATTTAACAATCCGAGCAGTATGAGGGCGGGAATTGTCCTGTGAAAATACAGCGCCTGGCAAGCTTTGGAGGAAGGGAACAGCTTTCGGGTGTAGAACTTCACGGATATACCGGTTGATGTTCAGATGCCACAATTCGTAGCATTGAGATGTCTATGATATGCTATGGCGCCCAGACCATAACTAGGGTGTTCGTCCACTGTGGCGTTCGATAATGCACTCGGAAGGTGGCGTTCACCGCATAGCGTCTGACACGAATGCGGCCATCTGGTACCACAAATTAAAGCGGGATTCGTCAGAAAACACAGGACATGCTGCCCAGCACGCCAGTCTCATGTGATTGGCCCATTGTAGCCGCAGGCGGCGATGGTCGGGCGTTAGGGGGATCCTGTAAAGGAGGTCCGTGCGCGCAGTCCACATGCAGCAGGAACGTCTACGAATTGATAAGACAACAATGAAACACCTGTAGCTATTGACCACAGTGCTGCAAATTGTCTAGAGGGCTGTACGGTCGTCCGCGCCATGCGACCAGGTGTGTATCACGCGAGCTGACCGTCAAATTCGGGGTCCACTCCCGGATTCGAGTTGTCCGAACTCGTCCGTCCACTGCTTCCAAAAGCGCTCACTGTGCTGCTGTTACGCTGCACACGAGAGGCTGCACGATACGACAACCAGCTTCAAGAAGGCGATGATTCTCGCGTTCAAAGTAAGTTGTTAAATCTCGCTCTCTTTCGTCGACGATGGCTAAGTAAGATTGAGTTAACGTTTACCATAGCAATAACACGATAACCATACACGCTCGCTACAGCGTCTATTTATTCGGATCCATCAGCGTTCAGAGGGCGCGCTCAGCATTACGATGCGCTACGGATTTGCAAATTCTAATTCATTTGCATATCATGCGCTACTTGCATTTCCTGAAAATTTCAGCTCACTCGCGTAAGTCCTTCATGGTGTTGCAATTTTCACAAACGTGAGTGTATTTTGCTTTTAAATTCATAATTTTATCACATAAAATCTAGTAATGCATACTCTTTTTCCTTTTCAGACTTCGTTCAGTTTTAGATAACTTTTTTTATATTTCTTAAATCTTCACATTTCTGGTTTCTTTTTCAGTAGCAAACATTTTAATTAACTTGTCAATATCCAATGAATGCGCAATCTTAATATTATTGTTGCGTGCGTATGGGTTCGTAACAGATTGAATGCACAAGTCCGATAAAAGGTAAATAAAATTCATTCTTATCAAAAGAAATGTAACAGAACGCTGTAATTCTTTCTCAGAAATATTTCTACGAGTGCTCACAATATCACGCAGTAATAATCAGTAGTTACACTTTAAACTACTAAAAACGTTAAATAGAACGCAAAGCACAGTACTGAGAAAGCTAATCTGATCAACACTAATAACAGCAGCTAACTTGTAGAGACACTAGGTATTTTGGAAGCAGGAGAAGTGAAAAATGAGCAACGCGTTCGCCGGGAATAGAACCACGAACCTCTGGAATACGCGCCTAGCTTGCAGACCACCAAACCACGAAGGCATGCTAGGAAGGTGGGAGAAATACCTTATATAATCCCCCTTATAAAAAACGACTGGGGTTTTTAGGGAACCCAATCGCCAAATCCTGGGTGTGGAGAATCATCAACCACTACCCTTTTAGTTCGGGCGCCACTGTAGAGACATTAGGATTTTATTGGAAGCAATAACTAAACAATGAGCACCGTCTTCGCCGGGAATCGAACAAGGGACCTCTAGAATACGCGCCCAGCGTGCAGACCACCACAGCACGAAAGCATGCTAGGAAGGCGGGAGAAATACCTTATGAACTAAACAACTGAGCTCTCTCTGTCTTTTTAAAGCTTTCAGTCGGTCGAGAAAGTTCTAGTAATTTCTTTGTTTCTCGAGATTTCTGGAAAACAACAAGAGGATGGAATTAGGATTACAGCTAACATAGTAGTTAATAACATTTATTCAATTTCAATACAAATAAAAGAGATATTTATTTATTCAATGTCAAACGCACGTGATCTTATATTTTTACTTCTTCGGCGTAGCTTTCTCTCAAAATTTATCACGCGCTGCATTGCACGGTGAAATAAAACAATTTTTAATTGTAATTTTACTAAAAATATCCAACTAAATACGAAACTCGTAACACTGCCCCCTTCTCGAAGAATGCACTTCCCGGCCAGTACAATCCCTGAACAGGAAGCCACACTTACAACTAAAGCATCGATGAAATAATAAATAATAATTATTGCATTACAATAACAAGCAACATAGACAATAATTGCAATAAGTAACTTAAAACAAATCAAATACCAAATAAATATATCAGTGCGCAAATTTGCAAATTTAGAAACAAAAAGGACCATAGTCTTATACTGTTTACATTATATACACTCCGACAGGCTAACTCCTTACTATGGCCCATAGTAAGGAGTTAGCCTGTCGTAATGAACGGCTTTAGGTTTAGCGTTCTATGACTTACGGACCCGAACCACGATGTCGTTCAGCCTGTTTAGGACTATGTGAGGACCATCCCAAAGTGACTGTAGTTTCCTTTCTGTCGAATCGGATTCCACAACCATACTTTGTCTCCTTCGTTGAATCGATGTTCTGTAGCTCTCCTGCGTATCGGGTCTTCATCTTTTCCGTCGCCAAACTGACTCACTCTCGCGAAAAATTGTGCATCTCTTAAAACCGGGCCTGGAGACATTGGATACATTCGTCAGGCTATGAGGGCGCATCCGGAAGATGACCAAACAAGAGATCACAAGGCAGACGAAGGTCACGACCAAAGAGCATCTGAAATGAGGAGTAGTCGGTAGTCCTGTGTCAATGCCAAGTAGCTTGCGGAGTTCTTTAATTACAGCCGATGCAAAATTTTTTCCTTGATCGGAATGTAACTGAAGAGGCTCTCCGAGCCTAGAAATCCAATGCTATATCATTACATCTGCTACCATGACAGTCTCTTAATCAGGAATAGGATACGCTTTAGGCCGCTTAATGAAGCAATCTGTAACAACGAGGATGTACTTTTTGCCAACAGCAGTTCGTGGCAGAGGTCCCAGGATGTCATAGGCGAAACTTTCAAAAAGTGCTCCTACATTGTAACGTTGTAGATTACCTCGGCTACATTTCTTTGGCCCTTTCCGACCTGCACGGGCATCACAAGATCGGCATCATTTTTGCACGTCATCCTTTGCATTACTCCATAGAAGCGCTCATGAACTCTCTGCAAAGTCTTTTTTATTCCGAAATGGCCTTCTGTAGAGCTGCTATGTAGTTCTTTAAGGACGTCCAAAATCCGGGATCTTGGAATTATCAGCTGCCATCGGAAAGCCTCTCCATCGTTAGATTCAAATTTCCGGTACAAGATGCGTATTGAATATGGAGTGAGTCCCACAGAGCCCAATATTGTTTTGTTGTCGGACTATAGCTCGAAATGTCCTGTCAGGCAGGTTTTCTGTTTGAGGACTCCATTAAGTCAATTATGGGTTTAATGTCGCCGTCTCTCAGCTGGTCTTTCTTGATTCTTTGTCACTCCTGGGTCTCCATCAGGATGTGGTTTGCTGTAGTTTGTCGTGCGACCGGACTCAGCAGCTCATGTTTCTTCGACCCTGGTACGATATCGGCAGCTTTATGAGCAGTTTCTTCTAGAGAAGGCGTCAGCGTTTCCAGGGGAAAATCAATTCTGATGATGGATAGTTATGCCCTCAGAGGCTGAATGTAGTTCGTTATTTTTAAAGTCCAAGGAAAAATTGTATTTCCTTAGTAAGTCCAATCCGAGTATAAAAGTATCTGTAATATCTACGACATACGCCATGTGACAATAGGCGGCACTTCCAAACGTGATGTTTACGTTTAACTTCCCATCTACGTCGATTTTATCACCAGACGTAGTCTGGAGGGTAATACAGGATGGCTTCCATATGAGTTTGTCAGGTGACGTATGCCCCTTCACTTGCCCCTTCACTGTATCCTGAATAAAAACAGTGAGCTTACTGAAGCTCTCTTCCAGATTGTGTGGAATAGACGGCACAAGCAGGAAGGGTATACTAAATCCTTTATTCTCTATTACTTTACAGGTACTCCCGAACTTCGGGATGCAGAGACCAACCACTTGTGGTCTGAACTTAAAAATATAAAACTACTAACTAAAACTCTAACTAAAAGCTAACTTTGAATTAGTATACAAAGCCTAGCACTAAGACTGGCTTTATAAAAGGGACGTAGTTACGCCGAGGCTGAAATTACAATACGTTTTCAAATACAAGAGGGCAAACGTATGGTTAAGGGCAAACAGCAACCGAGTGAAAAATCGTAAGCCTGCAGGGGCAAGCGGCTCGCTCCTAAATTCCTTTTCTCT